CTTGAGACACTGGCTTTAGCGCTCCGGACCGATTGCAATGTATCGGGGGTTCCATACGCGGGACAGGAGTTTAAGCTGAGCCTCTTTGCGGACGGTGCCCTCTTGACCCTTACTAATCCTCTGACGACGCTTCCTAACTTTCAACGGGTTCTTGAGCGCTTCTCCTTGATTTCGGGTCTACGTATTAACTTGGATAAAACCGTCGCTCTCAATATTACTTTGGCTTCAGATTTGGTTTCGCGCCTACAATCCCACTTCCCTTACCGGTGGGCTTCCTCTTCTCTTGAATACTTGGGCATTCGCTTGACCCCCACCTATGACTCTCCTTTTGCTGCAAATTATTATCCTTTGCTTAGCTCTTTATCTTCTCTTATGCATTCCTGGCAATTTCCGCACCTGTCTTGGATAGGACGGGTTCATTCAGTGAAAATGACCATCTTGCCGAAATTGTTATATTATTTTCGCACCCTGCGGGTTCCCCCTCATTTTCTTTGGTTGCTTCAGGCGAAGTTTATGCGTTTCATCTGGGCCAATAAGCATCCCAGAGTCTCTAGAAATACGCTCTTTGCTCATAGACTCCAGGGTGGTCTTGGGGTACCCAATGTAACTAAGTATTATCAGGCGAGCCAGATTGCCCCGCTGTCTATGTTGCACGCTTCCTCCGATGTTCCTCTCTGGGTCCTGGTGGAACTACCTAATTGTGCCCCTATCGCACTGTCGACACTTCTATGGCTTCCCCCTGCCCTGCGCCCTATGGTGCTAAGTTCGATGTTGCTCCATGGCCTGCGAGTCTGGGACTCGGTACGTTACTCCAGTGGCCTGATGTCACCCTTTTTGCCCTTGCTTCCAATCGTTAACAACCCTCTTTTCCCGCCGGGTCTAGATCACCCGAGGGCATTTTCTTGGTGGGTGGCTCATGGTTTCTCACAGGTGCGACAATTTTTGATTTTTCGGTCCTTTCCCACCTGGAATGTCCTTCGGGAGTCTCGGGATGTTCCCCCAGCGGAATTTTTTCGGTACCTTCAATTGCGGCCCTGGCTACTCTCGCTGAGGGCCACTTCTGCTTTCCCATATCAGAAATCTGCCTTTGAACGGCTTTGCCAGCAGCGTCCGGGCGCCCCGGGCCTTATCTCCCTTCTTTACGCAGCTTTGAACAGACGCTCGTCGCACACTTCTCTTTCATATGTTGTTCAGTGGGAACGCGACCTGGGAGTGGCTGTGGATCCGGAGGACTGGAATAAAGCCTGGTCACTCATAGCTAAATGTTCGTTTAATACGACCACGCTGGAAGCAGCCTACAAGGTATTGTTTAGTTGGTATTGGGTTCCGGCTCGTCTGGCCCAGGCTAACCCTGCCTGTAGTGATTGATGTTTTCGGGGTTGTGGCCATTGTGGTGATGTACTGCATATCTGGTGGTCATGCCCGAGGTTGGTTCGTTTTTGGTCTCGTGTGTTTGGCCTCCTTTTCACTTTGTTCCATCTCTCCATATGCCGGGATGCTCGGTATGCTTTGCTTCATTGCCCCATACCGGGCTTCTTGGCTCGTCAGCAGCGGTTGGCTTCCTATTTGTTTTTATCGGCCACTAGGACAATTGCTCAGGCCTGGAAGAGTCCGTTTGTACTTTTTCAGGGGGTGCGGGATCGTATGACTACTATGATGCTCAATGAACAGATGTCGAGTATATGCAACGACTCTCAACGTAAATTTTTGAAAAATGGGAGCCGTGGTTGCAATATGCCTTTCCCACGCTCCCCCCAGCCAGTGTAGGGAGGTGATGGAGTTTGGTATTGGCGCTCATGGACCCTTGCTCTTTGGTGTGCGTTTTTTTTTTTTTTTCTTTCTTTCTTTCTTCTCTGCTCTTCTTCTCTCTTTTTCTGTTTGTTTTTGGTGTGACAGTGGACAGCTGTCTTTAGTTGCGATAGTCAGAGTTTCACTGATGTTATTGTAACTTATGTGCCATTGATAGCCCCTGCGTGGGCATACGTTTTGCCTTATTGGAATTAGAGCGTTGTCTGCTCTATTATGCCTTTTCTATCTGTGCAATTGATAGCCCCTGCGTGGGCGTGTTTTGTTGCCTCTGTTTTATACTGTTTAAAATTCATAAAAACCATTGAAATACAAAAATGCATGAAAACATGACACTTAGGTGTCAATGTACAGTGATGTGAAAAAGTATTTGTCCCCTTCCTGATCGGAGGATTTGCCCAAAAGTCTTGCGGATAATCAAGATTTTTTTTTTTTGCCAATTGTTAAACGAGCCTTTGTGTTTTTTTGGTCAGCAGTGGTTTTCGCCTTGGAACTCTCCCATGGATGCTATTTATGCCCAGTCTCTTTCTTATTGTTGAATCATGAACATCGACCTCAACTGAGGCAAGTGAGTCATGCGGGTTCTTTAGATGTTGTTCTGGGTTCTTTTCTGACCTCCTGTATGAGTCGTCGTTGTGCTCTTGGAGTACTTTTGGTAGGCTGGCTACTCCTGGGAAGATTCACCACTATTCCAAGCTTTCTCCATTTGTGGATAATGGCTCTCACCGTGGTTTGCTGGAGTCCCAAAGCCTCAAAATGGTTTTGTAACCCTTTCTGATACATTACTTTGTTTCTCATCTGTTCTTGAATTTCAATAGATTGCGGCATGATGTGTTGCTTTTTGAGATCTTTTAGCATGCTTCACTTTGTAAGACAGCTTCTATTTAAGTGATTTCTTGATTCAACAGGTTTGTCAGTAAGCAGTTCTGGGTGTGACAAGTGAAATTTAACTCCGCTTTCCCAAAAAAAAATGTGGTTAATCATAGTTCATTCATGATTTAGCAAAGGGGGAGGGGACACTTACTTTTTCACATAGGGCCCAGCAGGTTTGGACAGCTTTTTTCCCTTAAATGAAATCACCATTTAAAAACAGCATTTTGTGTTTACTCGGGTTATCTTTGTGTAATGTTAAAATTTTTTTGATGATCTGAATCATCTGAATCTGTGTGACAAATATGCAAAAAATTATTAAGGGGGCAAATACTTTTTCACTTTTGTGTAGCCTGGAGCTGAACTCCAGGATAAGGAAATATTGTCTACGTACAAGAGTTATGCGTATTCTTCCTTGAATCATGTTGTGCTTTGTGTATTTCCTCCAGATCTGTGCAGGAATCCAGCATGAAACTTTGCCCCTGTGCTGGAGCTTCCTGTAATAAAGACCAGTCACTGCTGTTCTTTCTTCTTGTACAGCAGGGGTGTCAAATTCTATTTTATCGTGGCCATATCAGCATTATGGTTGTCCTAAAAGGGTCGGTTGTATCTGTAAGACTAGATGTCCAAAGCACCCCTACCCCCCTTACATCAGATGTCAAGAATCCCACACCCTTCCTAACATCACCGTGTACCCCCTTTGGGAGCAGAGCTGCAAAGCAGAAAGTGCAGGGTCTGGAGGAGGACCAGAGGAGGAGTGGAGTCAGTTACTGGAGTCTGCTGAATGCTGAGACCAGGGGAGGCAGAGATAAGGGGGTGCTGTGGCTGCAGGATTTGGCAGAGGAGTTCTATTCTCCTCTCTGCTGCCAACTGCTGAGACATGGTGGGGGCGGAGACAAGGGGGTACCTGCAGGAAGGGTACAAGGGCCACATGAAATGACCTAGAGGGCCAGATTTGGCCCGCGGGCGTTGTGTTTGACACCTGTGTTGTACAGGGTGACTGGTGTTGTATCCGCCCCCTGTAGTTTTCTGCTGGCAGTATGTAGTGGGTGGAGCTGATGGTTGCCTCCCAAAGCTCTGCTCTCTGTACAGCACTGTGTACAACACACTGATGATATCACTTTTACAAGGAAATAACCTGGGTTTGCAAAGGCATTTGGTGCATACAAAGTTGTGGATATTAAGGAATATATTCATAGTTTCTGAGTTCAACTGTAAGTTGGAGAAACATGGCTTGAATCAGCCCAAATTAAGTTCTCCTGAATCAGCCCAAATTCAAGCCGTGGGTGGCCTTGCTGACAGAGTCCAGTAAGATTTGAAAATGAGGATTATTATCCTTGTGTTTGTGAGTTGAGCCTATAGTGAGGGTATTGTCATATAATATCAAAAGAAAAGTGTTCTTTTAAGTCCATCTCCAGCCAAAAACTTATTTTGTTTTGGATGGAGCAGAAAAGGGTTGAAATCTCTGTCAGGTTCTGATTGCCATCTATGCCACTGTTGGGAAGAGTACCCTGCACTCCTAGACTTTGATTAACTTATTTCATCATAATTTTATTTTGTACATTAATAGAGAACAGATTGTAAGCTCCAAGGAGCAGGGCCCTCCAATCCCTCTTGTATTGAACTGTATTGTTACTGTACTGTCTCCCTCCATAATGTAAAGCGCTGAGCAAACTGTCGGCGCTATATAAGTCCTGTATAATAATAGAACAATTTTATGAAATTCAGACTGTAAAGTGATACATGCGTGAGATAGTGACCTAAATGCAATTTTTTTTATATCAATAATTCTAAAATATCAAGTATGCTATAGCACTGGGTTTTTTTTTTAAAGTTTCTTATCATTGTTTTCAGCCTTTTTTTTTTGTTCTGTATTCTGGGTTCTTGCGTGTAATTGGAATTGGGTGCATTCACAAGTGGCACAAATAGCTATACATTTTTTTTATAACTAGACTCCTAGGTGTTAAAATGTATAATTTGTGTCAGCCATAATGTTTTTTATTTTGAATAGAGTAGGGAAGGGTTCGATTCTATTTTTTATGTATTGCTGTCTGTGAGCTGGGATTCTTTTTGTCCTGGTCACCATTGTTGCCAGTGCAGAAATGATGAGAAATCCAAAAATGTTACAGTTGTCACTGGAACAACTGAAGTAACATCTTTTAGTCAGGACATCTGTTCTGGGGCAACTGTTTTAACCATTTCCTACTAAAAGTTTTGGTTTTGTAACCCATTTGTTTGAAATTGTGTTTTGTTAGTCTAAATTGGCAAGTATTTTAGAACCATGAAATAGAACCCGCGTCTTCTATTGAGTTTATACAAGAATTTTTAGTGAGTCCAGCTTACTTCATAATATAAAGTACAGATTACTGCTTTCAAATAACATGTTGTGTTCTTGTTTTATAGGTGTTGTTCGGCACTGCAGATGGTCAAGTTATAGTAATGGATTGCCATGGCAGAATGCTTGCTCACGTTCTCTTACATGAATCTGATGGTATAGTGAGCATGTCATGGAATTACCCAAGCTTTCTAGTGGAAGACAGCAGTGAAAGTGACACAGACTCTGATGACTATTCACCTCCACAAGGTAATTCATTTCTTTTTCTTTTTCTTTCTTTGATATACTATGCCTATACTTAAATCTAAGTTCACACTAGTGCAGCTGCAATTTAATATGATTTTCAGTGCGATTATGTAGTACAACTTGGTTGTGTTTTTGATACTACTGTGTTTTGACTCATCCCCATTGCTAGCCAACAGTGATGAGACATTGGCTGTTAAGGAGCTGGCACCCGCCAGCATCCCAACAACCAGTGGACTTATCGCTGTTCTGACAACAGGAATGAGTCACTGGTTGTTGGGAAGCTGACTGGTGCCAGCTCCCTAACAACCAGCACAAATTGCAAGAAAAAACGCACCAAAAACTCATGTAAATGAGTATTTGGTGCATCTCTTTTGAAGTCTATTGGGCACACAATTATGCGATGTCACACCAAAGTAGCATTGCAGTTGTGTTGCATTGATGTGAAGGGATACATCATTATCATGTGATTTTGTGTGACTCAAGTCACATCTGAACTCACACTAATGTGAACTAGGTCTAACTGAAATATTCAGTGCCAGTTGGTGCACAAGGATGCTTTTAGATGTTATTAGCTTTATATTGCATATTTATAAAAAATCAAATACCTCTATTATGCCATACACATACAGTATTTTTTCTTAAACTCCAGATAGGGATAAAAAAAAAGTCTGTATAATCCATGTATGTATTGTATGAAAAAATAAAACATTTAAAGTATTTTTATATATGACTACCTTTAAATAACTGAATCTGTGTTGAGCTCAGCCTTTTGATATGTCCAGTACAATAAGGCTCATACTTCGAAAAGAGATGTCAGACTCTGAGCTCAGTCTCTGTTGCATTATGTAGCAGTGTTAGGCTCCCTTTTTGAACATTGATATAGGAATGGAGAGCAAAGTGATAATCTCATCAATCGGTATTTTGTTGTTTGCCTGGAGTTCAATTTAACAGTCTTTCAGATAGTTCTTAATAATGCCAAATGCAAAAATGAATACCCCCCTTTCATACATAATGAAACTGGAGGTGATCAAGACCAACTGTAAGTTGGAGTATGGAGACGGGCAGAGTGCCTGTCCCTGTATGCATTTTAGCAGAGCTGCCGCCTCTATCCACTACCTGTTACTGGTTGATAAGGATACCTCCTAGCAACCAGTGATGCTGCAGTGGGCGAAGCATGATGGGGAAGCTGAGACACTAGTCCCTCATCAGTTCTGCTCTTTTCTTGTGAGTGACAGCAGGCAGTGGATGAAACTTATAACAAATAGCAGGCCGTCCTGGCTATGTATTCATCAACTTTCTACTGTCAGTCACAAAGAGAATGGACTTGATGGGAAATTGGAGTCTGTGAATCCCCATCAGGCCATGCCCCCCGATACAAAACTCGCTGTTGCTGTGTGACAGATTCAGTGGCAGGAATAAATGAGGCTGCACTGTCTGTATGGACACTACGGATTCAGTGCATGCCAAAAATTCACATATCTGTTCTAAGCAGGTACAAGGATCTGTCGCCCACAATGAATTTTGTCATATGGAGTCATATAAGAATGCTAAAGAGTGCCATAGACACACTTCATGAATTTCCCACATTGAACAAGGAGGATGTTTAATTAATCGTGTAATGTGCAAATATAGACTCTCATTTCCAGAATCAGATTGCACCTGGCAGCTTTGGGATTAGGTTGGGAGCGTGGTTTCTAATCATGTGACTACCATGATTTACCAGTTATGGGCATTACACAAAAAGTTTGTGCATGCTAATAAATGTTCCTGTTGATAATATAATTTTGTCCTGCTGTGGTAAAAGACAGAGATCCATGAGATGGACAGCAATCCTGTCCCAAAGTTGGCAGGGGGTGGGAGGGTATGTGTCCACTGTGTGAACAATTATTAGGCAAGTGAGTATTTTGACCAAATCATCATTTTTATTCATATTGTCCAACTCCAAGCTGTATTAGCTTGAATGCTTATTGGATTTAGGCATAACAGGTGATGTATATTTGTATAATGAGTGAGGGTGTGGCGTAAGGAGATCAACACCCTATATCAAGGTGTGCATAATTATTAGGCAGCTTCTTTTCCTCAGCCAAAATGGGCCAAAAAAGAGATTTAACTGAACTCTGAAAAGTCAAAAATTTAAAAAGTCTTTCAGAGGGCTGCAGCACTCTTGAAATTACTAAGATATTGGGGCTTGATCACAGAACCATCAAACATTTTATTGCAAATAGTCAACAGGGTTGCAAGAAGCGTGTTGAGAAAAAAAGATGCAAATGAACTGGCAAAGATTTCAAAAGAATCAAATGTGAAGCTACCAGGAACCTATTATCCTCCAGTGCTGTCATGTTCCAGAACTGCAACCTACCTTGAGTGCCCAGAAGTACAAGGTGTTCAGTGTTCAGAGACATGGCCAAGGTAAGGGAGGCTGAAACCCAACTACCACTGAACAAGACTCATAATTTGGAACATCAAGACTGGGGCAAGAAATATCTTAAGGCCGATTTTTTTATGGACTGATGAGATAAGAGTGACTCTTAATGGACCAGATGGATGGGTCTGTGGCTTGATCAGAAATGGGCACAGAGGTCCACTTTAACTCAGAGGCCATCAAGGTGGAGGTGGGGTACTGTTATGGGCTGGTATTATTAAAGATGAGCTAATTGGAACTTTTCGAGTTTAAGATAGACTAAAAATCAACTCCCAGATCTACTGCCAGTTTTAGAAGACACTTTATTTAAGCAGTGGTACAGGAAAAAGTCTGCAACTTTCAAGAAGACCATGATATTTATGTAGTCCAACCCACCAAAGAGATTATTTTACCAGTCTCCAGTTGCAATGTGGTGGTGCAGGCTTTCAAGGGTTAATACGAGTCTGTTAAATGTCTCTGAAAAGGGATACACCATGGGTCCCTTTTCTGAGGGGCAGTAATGTCATCATCAAGTGCAAATGATCCTTTAAAATGTATGTCAGGGCATTACCTAAATTTACTCCTAGCCACCCTCTCCTCCTCTAGATCATTGCCCAGAATTATATTATTTTTACCTTATACATGTAGAAAGAAAAAGGCTTTTACGATGTCCTGCAATATTCTGTCGTTTTTGTAAAATGTATGCAGGGACAGCTGCTAGGAGGTCAGTTCCTGTTATGGTAGACATTTCCCCAGAACTACATTTCCTAAGAGCCCTTTCCATATGTGGAGGGTAGTAGGAGTCAAGGCTGCAGTATGTTCCTGATTTGGTGGGAATTAAATCAATGTCTGCAGAGTAAGACAAAGAGGGGCAGGGATAGGTCAGAGACGCATATGCACATTCTGAAGGAGTTAACTATAGCACCTATAAGATGCCCATTGATACAGTAAAGAATACTTGTAGAGTATCCCCCCAGTCAAAAAAAAGGAGCTGTATAAAAATAAAGTACTTTTTCTAAGTGACATGTTGTGCTTGTAAAATATTACATTTTACATTTTTATCTGTTCAAATATAATACATACATCAAAATGTATTTTTCAGGCCATCTGTGTTCCATTTGAAAGATTTCCCTTATTTTCAATTAAAGGAGAAGTACAGCCAAAGTTTTTTTTTTTGGCTGTACTTCTTCTATGAATCACAGTTGTGCAGTTAGTTCTGCACTCCTGTGACCCGTTTTCAGCTGACAGTAGAACGAATCCGCTGTCAGCTGATGTCACTCAGCGGGTCCAGGATGGGGAAAGATCTCAACTTTAAAGTCGGGATCCACCCCAGAGTCTGGAGCATCACCTGGCTCTGCCTCTCAGCGAAGCGCTGAGAGCCTGAGCCAGCCACTCCCTCCCCCTCCACAGCCCAGCACTCCAGTGAGTGTGGGGGTGCTGAGAAGAGAGCAGTGACTGACAGTCGCACTCTATGCTCAGACCATGTGATCACTGACTTCTCACCCTTTGAGCTTTTGTGACAACTCATTACATTTTTGGATTTTTCCTTGAAGCGATTCAAAAGGTTAATTTTTTTTTTTTTGTAGTATAACAAACATGCTATACTTACCTGCTTTTCACAGAGCAGCCCAGATCCTCCTCTTCTCAGGTCCCCCGCAGGCTCTCCTGGCCCCTCCCTCCTGTTGGGTGCCCCCACAGCAAGCAGCTTGCTATGGGGGCACCCACTGCTCTGTGTTTCCTTTCACACACAGAGCCGCGGCTTGGCCCTGCCCCCCCTCTCTCTCCTCATTTAGCTGACTGGCTGTGGTTGACAGCAGCGGGAGCCATTGGCTCCTCATTGCTGTCTGAGCCAATGAGGAGGCAGAGACCCGGGACAGCCAAGGCTGTCATTCATATCACTGGATCGCAATGAGGCTCAGGTAAGTATTGAGGGGGCTGGGGGCACTGCTGTACACAGAAGGTTTTTTACCCTCATGTATAGAATGCTTGAAGGTAAAAAACCTTAAGCCTTTGCAACCACTTTGACTTCAGTCCTGGTAGTAGGAGTCAAATGGTCATGGGGCAAATAGAGTGAATCTTCATAGTCAAATACAGAATATCACATTTTGGTCAGATTATTGACAGCAGAGATGAATTGGTTGTCCAGAACCAACCAGTAGGATTGAAAATTATTGTATGTCTTTGGGCACTCATCAGCTTTAGTAGACATCACCTGAATGTCCAATAGTGGGGGAAAAAGGCTTAGGTTTTGCAGATATTTTCTTTTGTTTTCATGAGGAAATTGCAACACCAGAGGTAGCTGCTGAACACATGAATCTACATCAGTGCTGGATTAAACTCTGTGGGGGCCCCTAGACAGTTGAAACCTTAGGGCCACCTTTCACAGGTTTCTGGAGGCTTCTTGTGTGAATGCTCTAGAGGGATAACATTGTACCAAGTAGTGTGCAGGTCAGTCTCTAGATGGAGTTGACCATTACCACTGTACAATAAACGTACATAGGTTGCACCAAATCTTTTTACAAATTGACAGCTGTAGGAAGATGAGCTTTTAAGAGACAAATTAATGTGAACCTGATGCCTATGATGTATGTACTTTAAGTTGTTATTGGGTACATTACATTAATACAGTATTTTTCTTTCAAGATCAAATGATTATTATTTTGATCCGTTGTCACAGGGCTCTTAAACGGCCGGTGCCTACTCTGCCTATTTGGTAATCCGGCACTGATCTACATGCATTCTATCTGGAATTTATTATCTTGGGATATTCTAAAAGTTCTGCTATGGGTATTGACAGCAACCCAGTATGATGCAAAGTAAAATTACAGTACATTTTCTTTCTTGTACATTACACAGAATTCAGTTATTCTGAGAGAGTTGGTTATACTGCTGCATACAGGAGTATTATGACACTGGCAAACAAAAAATGCCAGCCAGGCATAGCCCTTCCCACTCCCATCACGCTTCTGTTTTTTTTTGCTCAATGTATTTTAATAAAGTTTACAATACAAAATAGGAGATTTAAACCATCACATGCACATATTAAGTTTACAAAGCTTTACATAGTTGAAAGGATCATATCCTGATCCAAAATGTATATATTAAGAATTGTAAATCAAACAGCCTCTTAATGAAGAAGTCAAGATAATGTAAGTCAACAAGGACGCATTTTCAGCGTATCAAACTAAAGATGATGACTAGATTTACTAGCGATTATACATCATGGGTGCTCAACCTGTGGCCCTCCAGCTGTTGTGGAACTGCAATTCCTATCGTGCCTTGACCTTTCTGAGCCATGCTTGTAACTGTCAGCCTTGCAGTGCCTCATAGGACTTGTAGTTCCGCGACAGCTGGAGGGCCACAGATTGCGCACGCATTCTACACATAGTCAGTTTAAACATACACACTTCAGTGTTTTGCTAGTGTCCCAGGAGAACAGGACATCTTTCTCTGCTAAGAAGAGTTTACCCATTTGTGTAGGCTGGCCATACATTATACTGTACAATTTTCCTTTAGATTTACCAAAACTATATAATGTGATTTCAAACCTAAACACTTTCAATTTGTATGCAATCAGACAGGACCTTGCACTACATAGTTGAAGTAAATCTAAAGCAAATTGAATAAGTAAATTGTATCATGTATGGCCAGCCCTGGTCTTTATTTTTTTTAAGATATTTTACTGTCAATAAAGATTTCATCTGCATGCTGCATATAAATCTTTAGGCGGCTATTTAAAAATCTGTGTTCTATCATCAGTATCTTTGCTAATACCAAGACCCCGCTGGACCAAAGATTGCGGGACCTCCCTGGGATGTGACTTTCTTGCCCTGGGTTCTGTTTTGGTGCTGTCCAGACCCTTGTGTTACCTGCAGCTCCAAAGTCTTGGCACAAGCTCTGGTGTAACCCAGGATCTGTACACTCACTTTGTGAGTATGCCCATGGACAGTTAAACTGGAAAGCATTAAACTGGAATGGTATCCTCAGGCACATTAGCTGTTGTCTACTTCTGGTGCTTTCCAGACCCTTGTGTATTGTGCTAGTTAGCCAGTTTATGTTTTTGGTTTATGCTTTTTTTTTTCTTCCTGCATCATATTTTTGTTGGTGTTGTTATCTTATTGTACATTTTCCAACTTTTATTTGCATAGAAATACCTGTGATGATACAAGGTGGTGGCTGATATAGCGTGGACTGCTATTCATTGGTTTATGATGTTTGACCAAGCTTTGGGTCAGATAGAAACTCAAATGCTCCTTATGACAGACACTATGATTGGGTTCTACTATTCAGATTTGAGCTATACAAAAGTTCATAATGGTAATGCCCTAACTCCTTGGCTTGAACACATATATGTACTTTAGTTATGTAATGCCTTGCTTCATTATAATTTAAAATAAAATCTACAGAGAAAAAAAAATACCCAATAGTTTTGGATGTATAAAAATTAAGGACAGGCAGCTTTAAATTAACAATATATGTAAGAACCTCAGGCGTATATGAGAATTTGAATTAAAAAAACATAACATTTCTGTTCATGAGTTTGGCAAAAAATAGTAATAATAAAAATATGATTAGTCAATTATTTTTTTATTTCTATTATTACTAATATTTGTATTATTACAGGTTTTCACCCAATTGATACAGTATATAGCACCGGCAATTGATGTAGCGCTTTACATCTACATTGTACATTAATGTCATTGCCTGCCCTCAAGGAGCTTACAATTTAAGGTCCCTAAAAAGCCGGCCATAGGTAGATCGAATATCGGCTGGTTCAGCAGGGACCGTCCAAGATTCACCCATCTATGGGTAGGCTGGTTGTACCCAAGTACAACCAGCCACTAGTAGTAATCGTCTTCTGCCAGAGGGGAAAGCTCCCTGCCAGCAGAGCACAATAGCGCTGCGGGAGGGATTCCCACATCAACACCTGGGAAGTGGAAGGAAAGAAATCCAATCATCTATGGCCTGCCTACTGTAACTCACATTCATACATACACAAACTAGGGCCAATTTAGACAGCAGCCAATAAACCTACAAGCAATTGTTTTGGGGTGTGGGAGGAAACACACTGAAGCCTAGTAGGAAAATGCAAACTCTATTCAGGTAGTGTCCTGGTTGGGATTCAAACCTACAACCTTCTGGAGAGGTACACAAAGAGCCTCTCTTGCTATTGTTTCTCTGTTCCTTTCTAATTGTCATTCTAAGGGACCCTTATCCATTTAGGGATAGCAATTGCAATGTGATGGGTGATACTGCCCATCTATTCACACATCAATATAGTCTTTACATTGCAATAAAAAAAACTTTTGACTCTTAATTACACACAGAACATTAATATCTCAGGGTGCCCTGGCGATCTTTTACTAGAAGGCTTTGAGTCTAATTTTTTTAACCAAATGCTGAGGCTCACACTTCTCTCTTTTGGTTGATCTTACATCCTTCTTGGGCTCCTTCCATAACTCTGTACTGATCAGGGGAATCTGGGTCTAATCCTGACCTCTTTCCTATTCACATTTTCCTTCAGTACCACATTCTTGATAATGACAGATCCCATAATTAGGAACATACTCTTATTAGCACCCCTCAGAAAAATTTCCCTTGGGTTATGCTGGTGGACACATATCTCTCTGGCTTACAACTTTCAGATTCTTTCCTGAGCTTTAATATGTCCTCCTTCCTCCTGTCAGGGTTTTTGGATTACCAGTTTGCCTATTTTACAGGCTGAGAAGCCATTCTGCTTTTTTGCCTCCTCAAAAAACCTGGCCCTTTTTACTGTTTGACGCCATGTGCTTGTTTAATATTGTTAAAGGTCTCAATACTCTCCTTATGTGTCTTCTCCACCTCCTCAAAAACCTGACCTGTTACCGTGTGACTTCATGCATTGATTTAGTACTCATAAAGGTCTAAATGCTCCCTCTCCACATTTGTTTCCCTCTCCACATAGTCTAGGGGTGGCCCTAGCACTTTCCTGCCTCTTACCAAACATTTACTGCACTACTGACTTTGCCCAGAGATCTTCCAGCATTTCTATTTAACTGATGTTCACCAGTTATGCGCCTTCAAACATCTAGGTTGGGTGCCCTTCTTTTCTAGGGCATGCAGATTGCTTTCCCCGTACTCTGCAATTTAAATTTGCAGTAGTTCTCACCTAGTGTAATGGTAGGGAACCCCATCCCATAGTTTGTTCCCATTCCTCAGAATGCAACTTGGATCTTGGTACCCTGCAGACTTTGGTTTGGCCTTTGTATACCCTTCTTCTTTACAGCTTGGCTCTTGCACTGTACACTCTTATTGTGTCTCTCTGGGCCTTCATTCAGTTGCTTTTGCCCACACAGAGCCCTCTTGTGTTTTAAAGGTGTTAACACCCTTTAAGGGAACTGAGCCTTCTTCCCTCCATTTCTCCTTGGAGACCCCTCTTTTTATTTTGCCACATGGGTACGAAGTATCCAGGAAGCCAGTCCTTGTGAACCTGAGGCTGTTTTTATTATTATCTTGTTGCCTTCATTGAGCATGTAATTTTTCTTCCCCATGTTTTGCCTTGAAGGCAGGTCAAACAATTTATGATTCACATTAAGATTGGAGTCAGGACTCTCTTCTATGGCTGCCTGCAATGTCTTTCCTTGGATGCATGAAGGGAAAAAACCTTTAGCCTTTACAACTGCTTTAACATGGTCATACAATTATTATACAGTCCAAATTAAACACCATCAATAAAGGGCTGTTTAACTCCTAAGAATGGTAACTCGTCAAGAGACAAAGTCCAGAGATTACTGAACTAGATGACAGATACAAATTTTACAGTATTTTAGAGTCGTAATCAACTAACATTTAGGCACTGTGAAGGGAACATAATACAGTTAGGTCCATATATATTTGGACACAGGCACAATTTTAGTTTTTTTCAGATATTTACCAAAACATATTCAAGCTATCATTATATAATGGATATAGGCTGAAAGTGCACACTCTCAGGTTTAATGTGAGGGTATGTACATCCAAAT